AGTACATTGAACTATGGAGCTATCGAAAAAAGATATTTTTTTTGTCTAATAATTTACTTCGACAAGAATTCGGTGCACGTTGATGCCTTAAAAAGGAACAAATTCACAACGATCTTGAAAGACCAAAAGTTACTTAAATTATAGCTGCATATGTACTTCTAAAAACACAAACCAAAATCATATCAAAATTATTACCCAACGGCTTCTAACAGTTATTTCCTGGTCGCATGGTCTCCAGATTAAAGCTAAAAACCGCCATATCAGCTTAAAGTGACAACATAGTAAATTTCCGCAACTAAATTTAATTTTTTTTTACCTATTTTTTTTTTCTTTTTTTGTACCTTCTAATTGCATTATGTATAAATTTAGGAGTTAAATAAAAATAAACAATTTCTAGTAAAAATAAGATACAATTTTAAAGAAATAAATAATATACAACATAATATATTGGGCCAGACAGGAAAAAGTAAAGTTTATGAAACACTGAGAAGAGAACGTCATTAGTTTCTAAAATGCACTTCATCAGCTGAAATTTAGGCAATATACTGTAAATTTATTTATAAGAATTATTTCTATTTAATCCATAGCTAGCTTTATAGTCAAATAAATGATTTTAGACTTCAATTCTAACGGTGTATTTTATATTAAGGTTTAAGAATTATGTCATATTTTCAGCTTTGAAGGCTACTAGTCTTATTAACTTAAAAGCTTTTATTTAATGAAGGTACAATATAGTGCAGTAGTTTAATTAGCTGAAAAATTGTGATAATACATCTAATCATTAATGCAACCTAACTTTTAAGACTTAGGAGTACATAGTTGTTCTTATACATGGTTTAGTTAATAACGTCCAACTGTGAAGAAAAAACACATATGTACATATAATGATATTACCAAAACATCCACTTTAAGTAAAAAAGGCCTTACAACAAGACATTAACTATTAAACAATATGCAAACAACTTTACTAATTATGGATCAAGGCTAATAAGGAACCCACAAATTACCAAAAGTGATAAACGAATCTGCTATATACGAATGTGTTTTCAATGCTACAAATTTGCAATGTTGCAAATTTAGCATAAACTTTGGGACCCGGGTTTTTGTATGTTGTATTTAAGTTGGAGATTATTAATTTACTACATTCACTAAAAATTGAATAAACCTTTTATATACGAAATATATACAATATATATTCATTTATTTTTTATTTTCCTAATTATTTGAATTTCTGTAAATATTGCGTAGTACTTTCTACTTTCATAGTTTTTAAGAAATACTAAAATTTTATGTTCCTATAAATTATTCAACTGATATTATGAATAGAGAGGCAAGGCTAATTTTTAATAGTCACTAAATTATTTTAAAACCTACAATTTATTTTTATATCTATATCTTTTTATTGGTTTGTCTGTTGAACTTAGTAATTATTTAATTTCTGTAAACTTATCCATATCATTATAGCTGTAATCCTGAATTGCCTTTCATTTGCAAAAATAAATAGTAACGGAAATTAAAAATAGTATTTTTTTTTCGTTTTTGTTTTTAGCAGGGTTTATACATTATTTCATTCATTATTTACATACATGAATTTGCATAAATTTGAAAATGCAATTTGACGATATTTGTTTGAGAAGAAAACTAACGAATACAAGTGTTGACAGCAAGTTTACTTCACAGTTTAGTGATTGCAGGCAAAATAAATGAAAGGCACACAATCGAAACATAAAAATCAAATCCAAAACGACTTTCAGATGCAATACTTTTACTTTAATATTAAAATCATAACAAGAAAATTTAATCTTTAAACAAAACAAAAAACTTGAATCAACTAAAAGTAATTAGAAGTGTAATTTAAAGAAAACTATTAAAAGAACTTCTAAATATTATGAAAATTACGAGGACTTAATAGAATGACACTTCTAACTGATATAGATATATTTAATAGCAAGCAGGACTAATAACACAAAGAATTAATGATATGACGAATTGATACCAAAAAGTATGTACTATATATATTAATCTATAAAGAATAAATATAAAAAATAATAGCATGAAAAGTTTCTAATAGAAGACATCGATAACATAATGAAGTAATATCACGAGCTACTAATAATAAGAAAATTATTTTCAGGATAAGGGCCCCTCTCCCTTATCGCTTTTGGCTATTTTATTATATAGCGTCACTGAACAACCACAAATTACTTACTAAAAAAATGTTTGAAACCGGTGTTACAACACCGTGTCACTATGCTTCTCTTCTGAGTTTTACTATATACCATTACTGATTTTCAAACCATACGAACGATATCTTATTTTAACGATTTATGTGCACCACATGGTTTAAGATGTTTAAAAACGTTTGATTTCGGAACATTAAAGTATTTGCTACTCTTTAATTTGTGGCTTACTAGCTAGTTTCAAAGTTCAAAAAATTATAATTCTTGTATGGTTTGTTTAAATAAAATCATATAAATGTTCGATGGCACATCCAATTTTTCTTATGCGTTATTTAATTATTGATTGAATTAAAGTAACTACCATAGAATAAATTTTAAATATTATAAAATTTTTTTTTCATTTTATTTGTATTAAAATGATTTTTCACTTTTGGATATACAAATCTAAATATGCGCATTTTTTTGGAATAAGCAGTGTAAAATGTTTAATTTCGGAACATCGAAATGTTTGCTACTCTTTGATTTGTGACTTGCTAGGTAGTTTCGAAGTTGAAAAAATTACAATTCTTGTATAGTTTGTTCACATAAACCCATATAAATGTTCTGTGACATATCATTATTTTGTTCAATTTAATAAATTATTGTCTTTATATATTATTCAATGACTATACCTACCGTAAGACAAATTTTAAGTACTAATATTTTTATTTTAATTGCTTTCAATTATAACAAATTAAGATAAAGTGCATTAGACCAAAACCAGATAAGATGCTTACGTATAAGTAAGGAAGTGAGATTTACCTAATGAACTTAGATTAAAAGAACTGAAATATTTAGTATATAAAACTATTAATACTTAATATGTCAAACATTTTTAAGTTACAAACATCTGGAAAAATTTATTATATTTTTAAAATTTCGATGTAAGGCAAATAAGTGAACTTTTGTCTCTATTTTGTAGTAATAATTTATTTTCTTTCTTAACTGTGAAATTAGCTAATTCGGTGATTCAACGTACGGGTACTATGTAAATGTCTATTACACTGCATAATGTAGAAAACTTTATACAAAAGCACTAAAATAACTAAAAATGCAAAATTGGCTATAACACTTATGCTAGGTTATTGCAGGTGTCTGGTTTAAAGTTTTAAATATGCATATTTGTTGCTTTTAATTCATGAGGGGCAATCACTTTTGGTCGTAAGAATAAAGAAATGATTGCGTGAGTTTGCATACTATTTCTTGTATAGTAAATTATTTTTATATTTTTTTTTTAAATTGTATCTTATGTGTTCAGCCACAGACGAAACACGTGATTCATACAAATTTCCGCTAAAATTCATATGACATGCAAAAAAGAAAATGTAGAGAATAAATGACAAAACAGATTAATGGGTAATATTAAAAGTATATTCTATGCGATAAATATATATTTTAAATATATTTTTAAAAACTGTTTGATGCGCAGTTTACTTCTTATTGCCAATAAGTAAATTTAAATATTTAATTATATTATACACATTCTATTTTTGGATAATTTTTCCACGCAAAATTATAAATTTCTACTTTGTGTCATTTTTATAATCAATTGGGAATTCCATTGTGAGTTTTTTACTACATTTGTTTATATTAATTTAAAGAATTTGTAATATATTTTTGGAAATAGAATGAAATAGAAATCAGTAGGTTGTTGGCTCCCCGCGTAACATAATACTGCGAATGAGATCCTTTATGCTACAATCTGACTGAACAGAGGCCAGTCAGTTTTTTAAATGAAGGCTAGAAAATGACTTACCAACCCTTGAATGTGGTCTGGATTTTAACAGCTTAACTACGGTTAATAGAACATCTACTTCTGGTGAAAATAAGTTTAGCAATCTACTCTTGTCTTAATAATCTAAATCACATGTCGTGACATGCTACAATCTGACTGAACAGAGGCCAGTCAGTTTTTTAAATGAAGGCTAGAAAATGACTTACCACCCCTTGAATGTGGTCTGGATTTTAACAGCTTAACTACGGTTAATAGAACATCTACTTCTGGTGAAAAAAAGTTTAGCAATCTACTCTTGTCTTAATAATCTAAATCACATATCGTAACATATGTTATCAACGCACAACAATTTTTACATTATTTCTATTTTTCAGAATAATTTTCAAATCACAATAAAGAAAACAATTCTAATTTAAATGACACAATATTCTGTAACGATGAATAATGATCAAAAATGTCATACTTTTCAGGCGAAATATCAGGTAGCACGCACATAATAGATCTTAAAAATCTGGAATGCAGATTACGCCTCAAGGATGAGGAAACTATCATGCATATTCTTTGTGACGGTCCAGCTTTAATAACGCACAGAACAAACGTGTTACATATGGAGTTTCTTTCACCAGAACAGGTTCTCTAGATTTATGTAGTTGTAAACTTTGTTCACAAAGCTTTTTTGGCTTTGTGTAATCAATAATGGATCTGTTAAAATAGACTCTTCTGGACGCTGAACCGGTTGTTGCGCGATTTAACGTCTAAACTTTTAATAAAAAAAATTTTTTTAATAATAAATCTTAGAACACCCAGTGATTTGAATACTTAAAATTAGTTTTAATTCATAAATTTATTTAATGCAGTTGCATATTTTAGTAATATTAAAAAATGTTTATTATTTTGTTGTTAAGTATCAAATGTTTTATATTTTGTATAGAAAAAAAAATTTTTAATAACCAAAAAATAATTTTTTACATAAATGCGTAGGTGCATACATACAGAAAAACTTCCTAATTGACGATGAACTTGGCACTGATTTTAAGTTAAATTACCGTATCTGAAAAAGAAAGAAAAAATTGAAATACATTTCATTAATTAAAAATTTTAAATGCAAAGAATTTAATTACATCTATAGATAATTTGTTGTCACGACAGCGTTACTTTTATCTTGAAGTCATTGAAACCAAACAAACTCATTACAAAAAGTAGTTGTCATGCTTTTATTGTTGGTTTATAGGGAAAACATATCTCAACACAATCATCTCCTCTTTTTGTATTTATGAAAAGCATAAATTCTGTGAACGTGCTGTTGTATCTCACAATCCACAAATAAATGTACGGAGTTCTTTTTCTTTTTTTTTTTTTGTTTGATTTTTAATGGAATTTATGGAGCTTATCACAGTAAACAGACGACTAATTGCTGAGGTAGATAGATACCAAATGACATATAGAATCTCACCCACTTGCAAACATTAATTGTTTTGTATTTACTCGAGTAATTCCGTGCACGATTTTGCGTATCTGTGAGTTTGTCAGTTTGTGTGTTTGCATAAATTGTATTTACACTTGGGTTAAATAAATTTAATGTGTCAACATATTTTATCAGAATGTTTACACAGAAGGGTTTGAAATTTCATTTTTATTTTTTATGCAGTATTTATTATATTAATTTTTTATTCTTTGTTTAATTACAATTCAACAGTAATGCATCAATAAAATAAATTTACTAAAAATGTAGCTTCAATGTAAATGCAACACTCCAATTGGCAAATTTGCAATTGAAAGATAACATTTTGATAAGAAATGGAGATTTTTTTGTTTTTGTAAATTTTCTGTCTGATTACAAATTAAGAAAGCCACATTATTTCTTGGGATTTCATTTTTATTATTAGAGTAACTTCAATGCAATAAAATATAAGATAAGAGAAAATATGTCATAACAATTATCACAAAAATTGCATCAAATAATTTAAGAGTGCAAACACTCGTGGTTTTTATTTACCTAAATTAAATAATAGAAAAGCATATAAAGGCTTTTATTATGAAATTTTATATACATGTATATACAAATGCATGAGAATAACTACACTGTATTGCAGATAAGAATTTATTTATTTTAATTTTATTTAGGAGATCAACAGTAGCTTTTTATTTGACTTAATCCAATACAAGGGTTAATTAAAAATATATCGTATTAAGCGTTATCATAATAATCTCTTAATTAGAAACCTTACAAATTCTTCCAGATTTATAAGATTTCAGCCTAAAAGAACTGACTTATACAAAGTTATAAACGATAACAATAAAATGGATATTAAAATATATACATTTGTATCTCTGAGATACCTTCCAGATATAATACAAAGAAACAAAACAAGAAAACGTAAATAATATTATTATAAATAACAACTATAGTATAACAAATTTTGACGATATAGACAAGAAATAATAATAGGTGTAAAAAATTAACCACAATGTATAGAAGAAAAAACTCTTTAACTGCAAACGAGAAATAAATTCAATAGGGAGGAGTAAAAAAAATGAATATAATGGCATCTTCAAAAGGAAAACTATTAATTTGCTGTCGGGTCCTTCTTTTTTTTTCTTAGCATATCAGACCAGAGTGAAAAAGGGGATCTTTATCGCTTTATATTCCTTTAGTCAGTCTTATATTCGTATTGCTTTAAAGTGATTGTACATATACAGAATCAAACCATATTTTTGTATAAGATGGCTTATCCATTGCTAAATCAAGTTTAGAAACTTACAGAGAACTTTAATTTGTAGTACAAAATATTCTTCGTAAACGCCTCTAGACCAAGAAAAACTTCATTGATATAAATTAACAGTATGGTATTGATCTCATTAAAGAACAGGTATTCATCTAAAAATCTCATTCATCTATAGATGTATCGAGGTCATGGATGTATGGAGATGTATGTATGTCAGGAGATACCTCTTTAGAGGAGGGTTTAATCATTTTTACGTCAGATCGCTGGTATGACCATGAACTTGGTTTACTGATCTCATTATCTCCAGATATGCGAAAAGAAATTGTAGGAGTTCAATTCTGAACTTTCGAGAAAGTTAAAAATATTAAGCAGTTTCGTTCTATACCTCAAAGAAGAGTAAACAATGCGAATATCAGAGGTCGACATTTGCAACCTATGCTTTTGAATTATAAGTGCTATGAAATTGCTATAGTGTTCATTGACGTGGTGATCTTTTTGATGCTGCAAATTAATGTCTGTTATTTTCGAAATATATGTGCATCGCATATTGGTTATAAAACGAAATCATTAAAAGTTAAATGTTGGCTAAATTATCAAAATACGGCATAACTAGGTGTTCCGACAACTAACATTTTTAGTCATTGAGAAAAATCTTAAGCAAAACCATTTTTTTTATTGTAGTTTGATTCTCTTTTAGCTACTTTAATTTATTATTTTTAATGTTTAGTAATATTTTTGTAATATTATTAATGTGAAGACCGGATAGAGTGACCAGACACTGTGATTGCAAAAAATATTAGAAAAAGAATTATAAATGTACTAATATCAATCACATTGTCTATAGCATTGCTTCTCGTCAATGGGGAATATTGAAAATTATACGAAAAGAAACAAACCTGCAACTTATACAAGGAAATCAAAGATACAGTTTTTCTTGCAAAAAATTTTATTTTAGATAGTACGCACTTAAGTATTAAGTAAGTTGCTTCTCCAAAAGTGGTAATTGAAGATTCACCAAAATCACCAAAATTGCCCATTTATACAGAAACAACAATTTTTTTTAAGCCTTGATTATGTTTAATCTACACCAGAAAGTTTGTTTTCTCTCACTTTTGGTGAAATGAAGGAGGCGTAGATATTTCCAAAATATAACATGATCCAATAATATATTGAACATTGACGTATAATTAAAAATATTTGTGCTTGCTGCCGCAGCAGGTGGATCCGCCGTATATGTACGGGTATCACTTGGAGACTGTAATTCCACTGGGTTTAGACTCATATTTTATTTCCAGAAAAAAGTTAAAGAAGAGAGCAAAGCCCTAACGATGGGTTACAAGCGCAATGTCAGACATATAAGCTTTGCTCGTAGTGACAGGTCACTTTTAAATAGGCTATTACTAACCTGAAGAACAGACACCATTTGCAGCTGCTCAATATGAGTAACGACGCTACATTGTGGACTCCGCTTAGCTTCATTACTCCTCATTCAACCTTAGAGGCATGGAAGACCCTACCAGTAGCATCGCCGGAAGATTCTAAGTAACTACTGGGCTTCCTCATCACGTCAAAGTGGCAGTCCCCGATGATAGCCATTTATTGTTTGAAACTTTTAAGGATTGGAAACATAAAATATGAATACAACATAAGAGACACAAGAAAATTTAAACACTTTCAAGAACAATAAATTTTTTCAAACAATTTCGAATTAAAAACAAAATTCTCATGGACAGTAATGAAAGCGCAGTTAACTATTTATCTTGGATGCAGTTACTTATATTCTATAGTCGTTATTTTTGGTTAGAATAAGAAACTAACTAGATTTCTGCATAATGTTATAAATTAAAAAGCCAAAATAAACTCAATTTGAGATTACAATAAAAACAAAAGGCAGAAAAAAATTCGAATGTCAGCATGTCAGCAAACTACCAAAAATCAACAACTCGTAGCCTTCCCAAAACCAAAACTAAGTGACAAGAATCGCACAGCAGGCTGCGAGGAACGTGCCTCTTAGAATTTATGGCTTTATACTTAGGATGCTCGTATCCGTAACTCGTACTTCATACGCTATCTGTGTGACTTCGTTCAACTAAAAGATTTTTGTAGATTTTTGTCTGTCTGTTGCTTTTTAATTGCAAAACTTTTACCAGCTTCCGGGCATAAGAATGGAAGAGCATATGTCTTTAGTAGTCGGTCATCATGACAGCTTTTGCATCGAAGACTTTTGTTTTATTTCCTTTTCACTTTTTTTTCTTTTGGTTTTTTTTTTGCATTTTAGTTTTGTTTTTATTGCGGGCATAAAAAGTTTATACCAAAAAATAATTTCTCGCCTCATGCAGCCATAAAAGTTGACCAATTTATAGTTACATTCTTAAGAGTATATACTTTAAATATAGATATATATACTACATACATATAGGTAAATGTATTTGCATTTCTACAAGTTTAGCTTTGCATTGACTCTATGAAGTAAAAATTGTATAAAGTTTTAGAACGAAAATGATATTTTGTTGGCCATAAAACAATCATTAGTAGGGAAAAGTTTTTATGTCTCATTGCGAAGATTTAAAGCTTCTTCTGAGGGCTTCACTAAGGAGAGGCAATGATAGCTATAAATGTTATGAGACAGTTAATTTGTTTAGCAAATAAAGCGTTGTTGTTATTAGAGATTGCTACGAAGGATTTTGTAAAGATACATTTGTCATTACCAACAAAAAAACAATAAAAAATTTTTGGTATTCTTTTTTATTACTTGGATTATTAATGAGGTATGGAAAATAAGCAGTTTTTTGTTCAAACAATATGTAAACTTAATTAAGAAATATCATTTTATGCTTATAAAAACAGTATTACAAAATCTTATTTAAATTATATTATTAGAAATAAACAGACATTTTTTCAAACATGCAATCAACTTTCAACTTTCAATTTATCTCAACGTAGAATATGATAAAGTATATATCATAAGGAAATATATAACTACAATATATTTGCTGTAATGAGGCAAGATTAACAAAAAATTAAGACAAAGCACTGTGAACCTATTTTTAACCGAAGCAATTTTAAGTTGGAACCTTCGATTTAATTAAATTAAGTGTAATTGAACTGTTTAAACTTTTTTAATAATTTTTTTGACTCTTAAGGTTTACATTTTACAATAATGATTGAACATTCTCCATTGGCAACAGAGCCTTATTAAATATGACGAGCTTATGATGTTTACAAATTACGATATATGAATAGTAGTATCAGTAATATCGTAAGGCCAGACTCGTAAGGGTAAGTGCGACAATCTCTCAGGCTGATGGGAAGCTCTTGATATGGTCATGTCTCTGCCAAGGGTGGACTGCTGATTGTCGGGCTGGGAAGAGAAAACTTCCCGGGTACGTATTTATAGTAATATTTGTTTTGATATGTGTAGCTTTCAAATTTGTACGATACCTATAAAAACCCCCAAATCTGAGGTAGACTGTTACGCCGAGGATGCTTGACTGGAGGGGTGCATCCAGTCTTTTAGTAATGAACTCAGGATACCGGGCACTCTCCTGTTTTAATTAATGCCTTCTCAAAGTATGGGGCTCTGCTTTGGGTGACTGTTCTTTCCCTTATATTAAACACTGTATATGGATAATAAACTAAATATACCAATTAATAATATAATTACAGAGTCAGAGGAAGAAGCTCTACTCCGTTCGCCAACGAAGGTTGGAGGAAATCTTGAAAAGAGGCTTGAAGCATCTCTCAAGATTCAGGATCTGGATGATCTGAACCCATCTGCTCAGAGACCAATGGTATCAAGCGGTGGGAACACCTCTCCGGTGATTGACACCTAGAGTCCTATGGACACAGGTGACCACGATGGCGGTGCGTCTAATGCTAATACCCAGAGCATGGTGAACTCAGGTGACGGCAACATAGAGACCAGGAAGAAAGCGGAATACTTCACCGGGGCTCAGAAAAGACGCATCAAGGCCATGATTAGGGATGGATTGGATTTGGAGACTGCGAAGCAGAAAGAGAGAGAGCGATACTCTCTCTACAAAGCTTCCTTGGCAGCAGAAGGAGAAAGTGACAGACCCAGTACCAGCAAAAGGTGCAGATCTAATAACACATCTCCCGAAGAAACACAACGCCCGCAGCCCAAAAAGCCAAAAGCCACTCAACACACATCTAGCTCTACCGGAAACCAGCTAAAACCGACTCCATCTTACAGGGATGTAGCCAATGCTTGCAAAGTGGCTATCGCCCATGAGAAATATCCGGAGGTGAATCTCACTGGTGACCAAATGGAGTTGATAAAATCGAAGCTCCTGGAAGAAATTGACAAACTTCCCAAGCACAATAGTGTCTACGGCTTCATCACCAGTGTTAACAGAGACGGATGGCTCTCATTAACATGCTGCAATGGTGAAACGAGGAACTGGCTGACCACTTGTGTCCCAAAACTCAAACCATTCCCGGATGCTATTCTCAAAGTGTTTCAGGGCGAAGAGATGCCCAAAACCTATGTGTGCATCACATTTATTCCCCCCTCTGCTGTGCTACCACCAGAAATTCTGATGTCCCGATTGGAAAAACAAAATGGTGGCATTTGCACATCATCGTGGAGAATTCTCAGGACTGAGAAAGATAAGAATGGTGGGGAAACCGTTACGATCTCAGTGGACGAAAAATCCAAAAATTGGATAGTCGGTCAGGCAGGGAAGCTGTATCTGAACTTCACACAAATTCACGTACGTGTGAAGGGAGAGCCAACTGGACCCAAGAAACTGACGAGAAAAAGGCCATTTACGACAGAGAAACCCAGTGACGTCAAGCAACAGGTGCCTCCATCCAAAAGGCCGCTTTCAGGTGATAGACCCAGTACCTCAAAAGCACAGGCAGATAAGCCAAGTGAGACGGTTAAGGTCACACGGGACAGCACCCGAACTGAAGTCGGACCCAGCACCTCAAAACAGCAGGGTGGCACACCGGTATCTAGCATAAAGGACCAGAAGCAAGGGCCAAAGAAACCAGCTTCAAGATCCCCTCGACAGGAAGCACCCACTCATGGGACAAAATTGCCCAAGTGGATGCGGAACGGTAAAGGACGATACCAATAAAATGATGAGGTGCCTGCAGGTTAATCTTCAACACGCCAAAGCTGCTACGGCGGTGTTGACACAGCGACTTCTATCTGAAAAGATTGACCTAGCCTTTATCCAGGAGCCATATGTATATGAGAACCAGATAAAGGGAATAAAAGGTAAGCTACTGTACGATCATGCTAGCCATGGTCGACCTCGTGCTTGTATTGTGGTAAGAGATGACATTAATGCTTTCATTATTCCACAGCACACCAACAAGGACCAGGTAGCAGCTATAATTTCTGTGGACACCCCAGTAAGTAAGACAGAGCTCATTGTCTGCTCATCTTACCTACCTGGAAACTCCCAAGACCTGGACTTCCTATCACTGAAAGGACTAGTAGACTACAGTGTTAAAAGCAAGAGGCAACTCATCGTTGGAAGTGACACTAATGCACACCACACGATCTGGGGCAGCACCGACATCAATAAAAGAGGTGAGTGTCTATTTGAATTTATAACTGGTAACAACCTATATATTTTGAATACGGGCAATAAGCCCACTTTTATAAACAGAATCAGGGAAGAGGTATTAGACATCACCCTAGCAACACAATTTATAAAACATTTTATCAAAAACTGGAATGTTTCAGCAGAAACATCCATATCTGATCATCGTCAGATTAGATTTGATATTGATCTAAATATGAAGATAAGGGAATCGTATAGGGTGCCTAGGGCCACAGAATGGGATCTTTATACTGACGAACTCAAGGCCAATCTAGGCAGTAATAAACATACGATAAAAAATATTCATGATTTAGAAATAGCTGATGCTGCCTTAAGCACAACTATTATAAATGCCTACCATGGGGCCTGTCCGGTGAAAAATAAGACCGGCAACAGAAGTGCACCATGGTGGAATAAAAAGTTAGCCAAGCTAAGAGTCGAATCCCGGAGACTCTTCAACAAGGCAAAAACCAACGGTGAATGGGACAATTATAAAAATGCCCTCACCGCCTACAATAAAGAAATTAGAAGGGCAAAAAGAGAATCATGGAGAGGCTTTTGCTCAGAGATTCAAAACTTAAGCAATAGCGCAAAAATCCACAGGGTTATCTCGAAAAGCCACACTAATCCCATTGGGCTTCTAAAACGACCTGATGGTCTTTATACCAATGACTGCAAAGAGTCACTTATACTTCTAACAGAAGTACACTTTCCGGGATCTACAATTTACGACCAATCAATCTCCCAGCTTAGTTCCCTGGTGACCAAAAGGCCCAGAAACAATGGCTGGAAGATTGCTCGTAAAATCTTCACTGAAGATAAAATTAAATGGGCGATCAACTCATTTTCTCCTTTCAAAGCTCCTGGAGCAGACGGAATATTTCCAGCACTCCTACAAAAGGGACTAACTGACCTTATGCCCTACCTCATTAATATCTTTAGAGCTGGGCTGGCGATGGGAATCATTCCCACTAATTGGAAGGAAGCAATTGTCAAATACATACCTAAAGGAGGAGGTAAACCTAGCGAACTTCCTAAATCCCATAGGCCTATAAGTTTGACTACATTTCTTTTAAAAACTATGGAGAAGATAGTGGAAAGGCATATAAGGGAAGAGTATTTATCTATAAATCCACTCCACGCCAACCAATACGCCTACCAACAAAATAAATCCACCACACATGCATTACTCAGTCTTACTAATAAAATACAGGAGTCTGTAGATTGCAAAGAATATGCGGTGGGATGCTTTCTTGATATTGAGGGAGCGTTTGATAATACTGATCACTCACATATCGAAAGATGCCTCCATGACAGAAGAGTAGATGATACGACACGCACATGGATAAGCAATGTACTAAGAAATAGAATGGTTAAATCCACTCTCGGCAATGCCGAAATAAAAGCACATACTGTAAAAGGATGCCCACAAGGGGGTGTATTATCCCCACTCCTGTGGTCAATTGCAGTAGACGAGCTCTTACATCGACTCAGTGCCAAACATTTCGAGGCACAAGGCTATGCTGACGATATAGTCATACTTGTCAGGGGTAAATATGAAGACATGATCTCATATCGACTTCAACAAGCCCTGAACATCGTTAGTAGATGGTGCAGTGAAGTAGGATTAAATGTAAATCCTAAGAAAACAAGTCTGGTAGTCTTCACAAAGAAAAGGAAGAGAGTACTTTCCAATTACCCATTCCTAAATGGAGAAGAGCTATCATCCGTTACCCAAGTAAAATACCTGGGAATGATTCTAGATGAGAAGTTGACGTGGAATTCTCATGTAGACAATGTCATACGAAGAGCCAGAGAGGCATTATGGACCAGCAGAAACCTCATTGGTAAGCACTGGGGCCTTAATCCAAAACTCAGCCTTTGGATGTACACATCTATTGCCAGACCAATTGTAACTTATGGGTCAGCTATCTGGTACAAAAAAGCACAACAGAAGACTGTAATAGATAAACTTCGCAAGCTGCAGAGATTAGCCTGCATAATGACAAGTGGAGCGATGAGAACTACCCCGACAGCAGCCCTAGAGGTTGCATTGGGGCTCCCGCCACTTCACCTTCTAGTCAAAAAGGAAGCAATGACTTTTATGGCCAAGCTACAGTTGACTAGCAATCAATCAACAAGACTACTCGATAACTCCCTGTTAGGTAGGGAAATGCAAAGAGAGGAAGGACTAAATATCACCATATCTGACATTTGCTTACCTAAATTCAACTTTCACCAAAAGTTCCTAATACTAATACCAGACAGAAATGAATGGGAACGGAACATACCTCCATTCGCTGGAGACTACCATCTGTGGTACACGGATGGCTCCAAAACGATGGAAGGAGTGGGGGCGGGAGTATATGGAGTAAGACCTAAAGAGGAAATATTTGCGAGTATGAGTAAAGAAAACTCAGTTTTTCACGCTGAAGTACACGCAATTGAATTATGTCTCAGGGTATATAAAGGTAAACCCGTCACGGGAAAAAACATATATATCTTTTCTGACAGTAAATCGGCACTCCTGGCACTACGCTCACCTCGAGTAACCTCAAAAATAGTGTGGGAATGCCTTCTACTTCTCAAAGACCTTGCTGAAAAGAACAGAGTCCACTTAATATGGATTCCAGGGCACAGCGGTTTTGAGGGAAACGAAAAAGCAGATGAACTAGCGAGAAAAGGGGCGGCCTCATACCATATTGGGCCACAACCATTCTGCGGGCCTTCGTGGAGCTTTTTCAAACTTAAAACTAATGAATGGTTGGAAAAAGCAGCTCAGAATGATTGGGATAATACAATTACCTGCAGACAAGCAAAAGAATCCATGCCGTTTCGATCAAAAGCCAGAACTAGGGAGCTACTTATGCCGAACAGAAGTGGCATCCGACTTGTCACAGGTTTTTTAACTGGACACTGCGGAGTTAAAAAACATTTATTGAATCTAGGTATTACTGGAGACGATAGCTGTAGACTTTGTTACGAAGAAGAGGAAACAGCAGAACACATATTGTGTCACTGTGATAGTCTTGCAAGACTCAGACTTCGCTACTTATCCATTGCCTATCCGCTTATAACGGAAGTAGGCAACATCTCTCCAAAGGACATACTGGCATTCTTAACTGCTACTCGTCTATGGAACTGAAGTGGGTATGTCACAATAATCCTCGAGGATGCAGTGACGCGGAGACTACTTCCCAACCCTTCTTCTTTTTCTTTTATAAACTTGTCAAACATTGACACTTGTCAAAATTGACTGTAAAGGTTTTGGTATTCTGTGACATAAATAAAAAGCTCTTTACCTTGTTAGTTGTCAATACTACAAATGCTGTTGACAACTATAAAAATATGCTCTTTTTAAGCATTTTTTATTTTGTGCATGCATGACAAATATTCTTAACTAAAATATACGCTCTTTACAAGCATATTTTTTATTGTTATTTGAATGCATGAAAAATGCTTTGGCAACTTAAAATATGTGCTCTCTTCAAGCATTTTTTACGAACACTTACGAACCATAACGAACAGTTTTCTATACAAAACACTTTACACCATAGTGTGGTGAGAAGCACTAGGTACTTGAGCTTTGAAATTTGTCAAGATGTGTCCAGAATACCAAAAAGCTTTCTGCTTTATAAAAATCAAAAATTTTATTAAAGAATTTGACAAATCTGTCAAGTGCACAGAATAGGTCAAGTGCACAGAATATCTAAATAATTTCATTTATTTAGAATTATACGTTTTAATTCTAAAATAACGCTAGTATATATAAATTATTCTTATTAGTTTCTTTGTTCCTCTCACAAAATTATATATATTTGTCTGTGATTAGACACTTAGTACTATTTTTATATTAATATTACATGTCATATATTGCATTATTGTTATAATAAAATAAATTTCTAAATATATTATTGTGATATATTACATTATTATAATTTTATTAAGTTCCCTATTTGTATATTAAGTGTAAAATAAATATAGATAATCGGAACGAAACATATAAAAATGTTGAATGCAGATGAAAATAACCAGTATCTTAGTGTACATTTTACTAACACCCAATAAAATATAGTAGCTCACTATGGGAGCTAATTCCTGTCCATGTTATCCAATTGCTTAATTGCAATAGCTTAATAGTGCATTGTGCATAAAGATAAATGCAAATAAAGTTAATTAAATAAAAAATAATAATAGTAAGAAGTATTGATAACTAATATAGTGAATCCGTTCAAATTATAAAATATAATATAACTATTAACCAGCCAATTAAAAATCTCAATTGCAAACTTTTCAAAGGCAATAAAAAAATACAAATGTCAAGGAAATTTTAATATACATGCTTTCTTTAAATGTATATTTAAAACTGCTTAACTAATTTATAAATTAACTAAAAAAAACTATTTGCTGATAAGAGTTTTATTGATTTTCGCACCACAACCTTATGTTATTTGCACAAAATACTTGAAAATTGCTCCCAACCAAGAACTATGTGGTTTCCATCACTCTTTCTTATGTGCTCGCACATTGTGAATTTCATGCAATTTTGCTTCAAGTTAAAATTGTTACTCATTCGATACGTTGTACTCCATGTACTCAAGTGTCCTAAAAGTTTGAATTTCAATTAAATTCCTAAAGAACTACAATAAAAATTCATTCATGCAACATTTTTGCAATGACTTAACTTTTGTTTTTGTGGTTTCACGGTTTTATTTATCTTGAGAGTTTGTTGCCTACATAATTTTTGTTTACTTGTAAACTCTTCGCTTGTCTTCGGTTATCTCCTCTTTGTCTCAAGCAAAATTTATTTTAATTTACCAGTAAATCAATTATTTTAATTATTCG